TGCTACACCGAGCCGATGATCCCTCGAATTTTCTTGTTCTTTGCTATTGCACTAGATGTTCACTTGTTTGCAAGGTAATTGAGACGTCTGAGGAGTCGGAATGCGCAAACAAAATAAAACTGAATAGAAACTGTGCACGAAAAATCATCTCCAGCCCAAGCTTTCAGGTATCTGGCGTGGTTGCTTTTTTTTTTTTTCATAGATGCCAATTATTACTGCGCGTCAGGCATGGCCTTTCTGTAGATCAGTTTTTTGTGTGCAGGCTTCTCCCGCGGTTCATGTGTACCCTGTCGCACAGGCTCGAGTAGTGGCGCCGTTGTTTTTTTGTTTTGTTTTTTCCGCGGCCGCAGTGAAATTACCCCGTGAATGGCAGTGGGCTCACGCGTTCACGAAGACGAAGAAGCCAACGACGACGAAGCAGACGACAAAGCGATTCTAAAGCGATAAGACAACTGAAACTGCTTTTCTGCAATTGCTGAGGAAAGTAAGGCATCACAAACAACACAATCCTATGAAGTCAAAACATGCCAGAGAATCAATGATACCGGGGCGTGCCAAATGATAATCTATGGTGATGTACGTACGCGCAGCCGTATGTAGCCGGAAAGGGATGACTACAAGTAGCATGGCGGCGGCACCACTTCCGGAATGCGCGCGCCTGCGCAGTTCGCTTGGTGACATCGGTCTATTGTGGGGGCATTCTGATGTACCGCCCGTGTGACAGCACGGATGAGTGCTCAGCCTGAGTTGATTGTACCTTCGTGTGTGCACAAAACGACCACGCTCGGCTGTGACGATTAGAGATCCAAAGGTAAGTCTGTATTTTTTACTTGGAGCATTGTGAATTGCCCATGCTTGGTCCGTATCACTTCATTGCAACTTTTCATCGACCCACGACTCATCGACAACATTTCCCCGCTGCTCGTTAAATCAACTACTACTACGACGCCCGATTGGGCGTCGAAGGCATAGTCGTGCGCCCGTCATGCAACGTCATCATCATCATTTATTAAACCTTGAAGGCCATTGCTGGCATTACACAAGGTGGTAGTAACTGCTGAAGAAACATTATATAAATGAACAAACAAAAAAGTGGGTTACATGCTGGAAAACTTTGTTATATAAAGCAGCAAAAACAGGAAAAAACACACTTAAAACATTTTTAGGGAAAAACAGCTGATGAAACAGAAAAATACCCAAATAAAACATTTTATTTGGGTATTTTTCTCCTTGAGCGAAGCCGAAGGCAACTTCGGCTTCGCTCAAGGAGTTTTAATTTAATCTCAGGCTCGAGTAGGCACCCCACCTAGTCGGAATCGCCGATCGTTAAAGGGACACTGACACCCCCCAAAAAAATTTTTTTTATTTTTTGCCAGGCGCTTTATTATGGTGTCGGAGGACTGCCCGATTAATATTTTGCAACAGAGTAGCGTATTTTTTTAATAAAGCCAAAAGACGCAACTGCTCGAAACCGAAACCGAAACCCGACAGAGGTCGGAGAAGTGGAGAGAAGAGAGCGAGTGGCGGAAGTCACGTGGCTACACCCGACCGTGCGTTTTTTTTTTTCTCCTTTCCGTAGCAGACGACACGACATGCGGCGTGCGGGAACTGCTCGCCGTGCGATTACTTGCAGTTATGTTTGTTCCGCTCGTTGTTCTGTACTCCAAGATGAGTTGTTTTGTACATTGAGGAGTTGGAGATGAGTTATAGTGAGTGCCCTTGGTGAATTTCCATGATCGGCTCCGAAAAGAATACGCCCAAGATGTTGCGTGAAGAGCTGGCTTACATGTCCTGCATCCGAAAAAAAGTGGCATTGTGCGACAGAGTTTCCGAAAGATCAACGGGATCGGGACCAATGGCTGGCTGCAATTCCTGCAAAACAGTTACGGGCACCTTGGAAAGCGGACGCTACCCGATCTATATGCTCCTTGCATTTTGTGGAAAGTGATTACATGGAGTTCGGAGGTGTCAAAACGGGAATCCCATGCCATTTATTTCAGCGAAGTATCGCCCACAACATTTGTTTGTTATTTTTTTGTTTGTTTCTTCAGTGATGATTGTAAAAAAAAAAAAGAAAAAGATATGTAAACATCGGAAAATGTTTGAAAAAAAAAAAAAAAAAAAGTTCCACGGGGGATTGAACGCGGTCCTACCGCGTGTGAACCGGACGTCTTTCCCACTGAGCTACTGCAGCATTTCTTCAATGGTGGATCTCTTTCCTTAGTAATAATTCAGCCGGTAACTGTAAGTTGGAAAGCTTGCTGTCGATTTTTCTCTACAAAAGGCACTCCCGGGTCGAAGTCGGGAAGCACCACGCATTGGGGACATTTGCACCTAGTGAAGAAATCGTACGCGTGCATATTCAACTCGAAGTAGACACGTCGTGCTTGACGTTTGCGCGAGCGATGTCTTCAGCCACGAGAAGGGAGCGACGGCTCGGCGACGTCTTCGTGCAAATCGGCTTGGTGGCCGGCCGTGTCGTACGGGATGAATACCAATTCTTTTGATCAGTCCCAAATTTCTCTTTTAACGGTCGACAGAATTCGGCGGTACCGCAAACGGCAGTTCTGAAATAGAGGTCCCACGCCCGTCGTCCGCTGCCATCGCCGTCTCCGCGAGTCCCACGATACGCGAAACGACGAACGCACAGAATGCTTCCGGTTGTCTGTGGAACTTATTTACAGCTTTTTAGAAGCCACAAAAAATGGGGTTCATATTTTTTTTCTATTTTTAATATTGAGTGTGTGCCTTCAGTGACCCACGACTTTGATTAAATTTAGTGGTCGCATCGATACCTTAGAAAACGGCCCGTGACCGCGAAAAAGAGAGTGAGCGAGACTCGAACCGGCCAGTTCTTGATCGGCGGTTTTCGGGTGGAAAGAAACCGAATTTCGAGCCGCAAATTCTGTTCTGGGTAGTTGAGCTCTCATATGTCACGTACAACTAAAAACCTCGGCGAGCATAAATACCCTGTCAGTGTCCCTTTAAGTAAACTAGACTTTGCAATCGGGAGAATGCGCCACCGCTGCGTTGATGAGGCTCATGAAGCCCTCTTCACAAGTCTGCGACATAAATGCCACAAAAAAGTCAATTTCTAAGGCTCTGTCGAGAAAAAGACGCTGCCGATGAAACGATCTGTCGATAAAACGTTGCTTGTCGATGAAACGATCTGTCAGTACCGACAAGACGGATGGCAGTTTTGAAAAGCGCGGATCTTTACTAGGTTCAGCATAGAGCTCACACAAACTCACCGTCTTGATCGCCAACTACCATCGACTTCTGATCGTTTCGTTGTCCCCGCTTCAAGGAACTTGTAAGAGCAACTCGCCGACGACAGCACCGACCTGAGCCGCAAGCGTAGCCCAACCCAGAGTTCGAACATCGAATATTCGTAATTCCCGGTGGGGCGCACCAGGCGCGCGTCTTTTTTTTTTTTTTTTCAGAAGGTTTTTTTGTCACAATGTTTTCCTTTATACCTTTTACGAGTTTGTTTAGTCCTTTTTTATTATTTGGGTCAACTAATAGCTCGTGGGGAAGAGGCCACAATGCTCTGTTCACGTTCGCAGATTACGTATTTGGTCCCCGACAGATAATCCACAAAAATACGCGAAAACACAAATAATAAAAAGAGAAGCACTCAAGTTATTTTCTTCTCGCGATTTGTTGCTTTTCTTGTCATTACTCTGTGTGTCAGTGGAGGTTCTTGAATTCCAGCTTCGTGCTCTTCCAATTTTTCTTGAAGGTTAATGTTGGCAGTAATATAATACATTACACCCCTTTTTCTTTGGAACAATTAGGTACTCCCAAAAGTGTATTCGTTCCGAAAAGGGGGGGGGGGGGGGGGGGGGGGTATGCAGACACGTGGTGACTTGTTTGTTCAAGCCAGTGTATTATTCGATTGAAGTGTATTGCTTAGCCTTTATGGTCGTGCAAAAAATTACTGAATTATTTGCGAAAGAAAGAGAAAATGAGAGAGCACAGTCTATAAAACCAGATTTCAAAATAATAAACAATATGCAACAAATCTTACAAACTAACAACACACAAAGAAATTACTCCGTAGAAGCTGAACTGTTCTCGAAGTTCATATCCTCAGCCTTTCGCAATCAAGTAATAATGCTATTCAAATTGGCGCAAGTGACGTTCGTTCTCTTTTGAAAGTAACCGTAACGGTATATCGTGACGTTTCTAGGACGATAACGAATCTCATTAACCCGTTAATTTTTGACAATCTTAAAAATAAAGCTATTTCGTTACTTTTTTTTTTTTTTTTTTGTAACGGGCACACCAGTGCTTGGGCCCCACAGGTGCCAGAAAACCCAATACTCAATATCGTTGCAAGGCCCCTTGAAGCTGACAGTGCGGTGCGAGCTACACGTTTGCCGGACCAGACAACCGCCTCCATTTCATCGCCTGACCACGCCCTCTGCGTGGATATGGCAGGCAGAGTGGGCATGCGGCGAAAGATCGACGTTTGAGTGGTCCAACGGGATCGTATGCCATCCACCACCCTGCCAGCTTTGGCCCTTTGCATCTGCCATCAAAGAAACATTTTTTAGCGTTCAATCTATTTGGGTAAGTAATTTTGACTGGTTTTAAATGCCTCATACCTTTGTAACGTGGGTGTATTAAGTAGTTCACGACGATGCCGAGGAAAACTATAATGAAATCCATGCCTTTAAAAGTATTATTTAATATTTTAAGAACTCGAATTCGTTAATTATTCACTTATATTGAACTCTAACAATTTCACTTTGACACAGACCACTACGGCAGCAGGCTTCTTTATTGTGCAACGAGTCGTTTTTGCAGTAACGAGTTTGCCCGTTTTCCCGGAAACACCCTCTTTATGTCAAAAGAAATATTTTATACATTTTGGAATAGAACTCCACCTGCAGCGATTCTGGCGCATCAGGCAATAGTGACAACCACTGTACAGTCAGCGTAGATTAAGACATATTTAGATGAATTATGCCGATAAATACATGATTGTACACAGTGGAGTTAATTATGCCTTTAGTAAAACAAATATATATGAACCGTCTACTACAAAAAGAAGTTCAAAGAAATAAGGGCCTGACGAATCCCAGTGAAACTAGATGAATACCAAATAAATAGCACTAAAAGTACGAATATCCTAAATCAACAAAACCGCTTTGATGAAAGGTGAAACTAAATGTTTATGAACACTAAATGAATAGCACTAAAAGTGTGAATATCCTCAATGATCAGGACCGTCTTCGTGAATATGCAAAAAAAAATAATAAAATCATGCAAAAGAAAAACATAGAAACAAGTATTTCATGTAGCAAGCACATTGAAGGATGTCATGGGAATTCGGCAACTGCAACCGGTCAAAATGAAAAAGGACGAAGAATATTAAGAAATGAGATAGGAAATAGCACTGCATTTCTAAATCTTCGAGTCATGTATATTCTGTTGCTGTCCTATGAGTAAAGCAATATTTTCCAGCTTGGTGTGTTAAATAGTTTGGAATATAATTTTATTTTTTCATCTTAAAATTCTGTTGACCCCTCCGCATTACTAAGTTTTTCTTATAGTTTCTTAACTTTTGCAATATCCAAAATTGCTGCTATTGAAAGTCGTTAGTTATTTTATTAATTTGTGTATTTATGGTCATGAGTAGGCCGACTTGTAAGGAACACAAGTGGCCCTACAGACAACCCAGAGACGCCAGGTGCAGCACGAGATTAATGACTCTAAATGAATATAAGAATACTAGGCTTCAAGTAATTATTTTTTCGTGTACAAAAAAGAACCAGGGTCGCTTCGTCTAAGGTAAATTCACGATTTAATCTGTGTTTACGCGATACATAATAGGCCGAAATATTTTCCAACCATTCGAAACCTGCACTGCTCGCAAGTAGAGCTCCTGTAGGTCTATTGCCGAACGAAATGAACACACGTCGGTGCTCGCGTATTTTGTTTAAACCCCATTCACAACTATGATGCACGTTGCTGTTTCGATCACTTGCGATGTAACTTCCGATGAGTGTGTAAATTGCTATAAGTCGCAAACGCTCTACCGCAGGTCTCGCACTTGAACGGCTTCTCTCCTTTGTGAAGTTTAACGTGAGATATCAAGTGAGCCTTCTGCACGAACATTTTCTTGCACGCACCGCAACTGAAGGGCCTCTCTCCTGTGTGAGTCCTTTCATGAACCGCCAAACTGCCTTTCTGAGTAAACGCTCTGCTGCACGTGTTGCACTTGAACGGCTTCTCCCCGGTGTGAATTCTATCGTGAGCTGTCAAGTGAGACTTCTGCACGAACGTTTTCTTGCAGGCACCGCAACTGAAGGGCCTCTCTCCAGTGTGTGTCCTCTCGTGGACGGCGACATCCGATGCGGAAGAGCATGAGTAAGGACAGAAGCAACACGGGTGCTTGTCCGGTCGTCGGTGCGTTTGCTGCTTGTGTGGGCGCGACCAGTTAGTCGGGGGAGAGGTGTCACCCCTGCGGCTGTCACGGTCGATGGTATCCACTTTGTCGCCAGAGTATGCTTCGATCAAGTCTGTTGGGATGACACAACAGAGCATGAAACGTCGGCGCTGTTTTTATTGGTCTGAACATCAATTTTGAATACCTAGATGAACATGGTCCAGAATACGTACATTATGCCGGTGCGGCCTAAAGTAGGTATTCATTCATTTGAGACGTTAAAAAGGTTCAATCGTAATGCTTGTAAAGGTCTACAGGCAATCGTTTAAGACTCCACTCTGGCAGCCCCATGCTGCCGCAGCTGTGGTGGCTTGCGCGTTCTCCTAACCAAGTGCGGAAGGGAAGTCAAGCCGCCGCGGCTGCTGCTGCACAGTGTTGGCGGTTACGTGTTACAAGTAACGTCGTTATTGGTAACGCCTTTCTTCTTTCAGTAACGTAGTGACGTATTCATTACTTTTCTAAATCTAGAAATTTTCTAAATTTGGCCTGTCTTTTCCCCACGCGAAAATTTCCGCTTTAGAAAAACTCCAACCACCGCCTGTCATGTTAAAGTCGAAACACGCTGTCGCCAAAAGAAAACAAAAGCGCTGTTACCGTCAATTTATAAATAAAAAGTAACGCAAAAGTAACGTGCGTTACTTTCTGTCGGCGACAGTATCGCGCTCCTTTATTTCGCAAATAACGTAGTTCTTTATTTTTTTTACGGTAACGGCTACAACACTGCGGCTGGATACCGCTGCGAGTACGGAGCGCTGGGTGATAGCGTGTTGACATTAATAATGATCGCGACTGTGTATTAAGTAACGCTGGAAGGGTCATTCACCACCCACAAATTATTAGGTTACACAAAATAGTATTCAATAAGCTCGTGGAATAATCGTTGTGTGCCTTAGAAACTTGAAACATCGCCAAGGTACGCAGCGATTATTTTATGTGCGATTTGAAACAGCAAAAAACGCGGTTCTATACCGACAATGATGTGGACATTTGCCAGTCTAAAGCTAAACTTCCATTTCACTTTTTGAGGAAGTGTTCGTGGTAACGGGGGGGGGGAGCTGCGAGCCACACTCTAACACACGAAGAGCCGCATCTTGGCCACCCCTGTTCTAAAGCTTCAATCATTTGGAACAGCCAAACATCTTTAGGGCTATTTCATGCGTCGAAAATTATTTATAGCATTTGTGAAAGCTACTCGATCAACCGGAACTGAAGGAAAAAATACAATTTTGTGATATAAACAACTCAGCATGGTACACTTCTCTGATATCAAATACTATGTATGCGGTATAATTTTTCGGCTTGGTGCAGGCCGCTAATTAAAACTTAATGAAGTTTCTACGTGGGGAAAACTTTGTGTACCACATCAGATTGCTTACGTTTTCCATCTTCTGGAAAACCGAGCCTACAAAAAGGTTTTCTTTGCGTGGGGGACCGTTCATGAATCTGTGAGGGTGTGCTAAGAGTGTGCGAAGCTGGATGAGTGTTATCCCGTGTGCGTCTTCTAGTACCTGCTGTTGGTAGTTCTGAGGGCACCATAAGATTGGCGGCAGAAGTCGCACCGCCGTCCGTCCTCCCCTCCTGGTCCATCTTCAATGGTTGCCTCTGCAATTCGGCTCCTTGGAAGGAGAGCTCCGCCCCCTTGTCCTCGCAGTCCGTTCTCTGCCATTCGAAGTCGAATGCTGCGTGGGCAAGTTCGGTTAGGACTGAAGATCAAATTTTGTTTTGTTAATTTTTTTATACTATACCAATACAGAAGCTCAATCACAACGAAACTTAAGGAACAAGCAAACATAAACACACCATGCTGATGAAGTAGAGAAATTCAGGGGTTTGAGTTGATATTGCGGTGGAATTCAAAAAGTAAAATAATCATATCACGATCAACCACGCACATCACAACTGGATACTGAGCATCCCGAAAAAGTCGATTGTAAAAAATGCACGCGAATCAAACATAAAAGCGATCCTTCTCTATTAAGCACGAGATTCAAAGGTTTTACTTCACCTTTAAGGGGGGATACGGCCACGAAATTCCATTTTTTTCCGAAAAAATGCATTTTCAAAAAATATTATATTTGGGTTCACTATGTTCTGAAGCATAGTTTCAGAAAGTTTTATTTATAAATGCGCAGTATTTATTTCGCAAAAAATATTTTCGGCAAGCTCGCGGCCGCGCGCGGCGACCCGCCGAGCAAGCAGACGGCGAAGTTCGGCATTTTCAAATTAGGCCTACTCCGCGCTCGTTCGACGCAGCCGAGATATCTTACCCTCGTTGGAAGCGCCGTTTCTTCTAGTTTCTGCCCATAGAAGCTTGCTACGTTTGAGGCTATCTGTGTCCCGGGAGAACCCCGTACATACAAGCAGAAAAAACGTGGGAACTATGATACCAGCAATCCCATTGGTTGTGACCCGAAACAGGGCTCACGATTGGCCGCCTGCGCGCGCTATCGGCAGCTTCTTTCGCTTCTGATCGTATCGCTTCTGATCGTATCGCTAGTTTGCCGCTGTTTAGATTCGGTTTCCCTCTTTGTTCCCGGTAGTTTTTCTGCCGAGAAATGCCTGCTTCCAAAGTTAGCACTCCCAGTAGCTTTGGTCGGCGTTCTCAACGGCGGAAACAAAGGGCCGGCGGAGACGGGGACCCGTCTCCGCCGGCACCATCGTCGCCGTCTCCGCCACCGTCGTCACGATCTCCAAGCTCAACTGGTGCTTGGCGGACATCGGAGCCTACAGCTTCATCTCCGAATCGGATGTGCTGACCACGTTCGAGAGGAAGCTCAGCCTGCGCGATTTCGACGCGGGGATTACGGACGACCCGGAGCTGACAGACGCTCCCGTTGAAAAGCCCCTGAACGGCTCCTCAATGTGTCCGCCATGCAGACTCTTGTCGCGATTTTACTCTGCCTCAAGTGCCACGGAAAACTACTGAGCTTGCAAGAAGTTGACATCAACCTTTAGTTTGTTGTTAGCTGCTCGACTTGCGGAGACATCGTCGCGACACCGCACTCACCATCAATCGGCAAGTTTCGAGAGAACGAACTCGCGGTACGTCTAGGCGTCGTTGGAAGAGACTTTGGCATCAGTTTCACAAAGCTCACGAATCTCTTCGGGGGCCTCAACGCACTGCCCTCCTCATGCTCATGTAGTTGAAGGTGCCACCAATGACTCGGGTAAATTTCGAGTTTCTGGCATCGTCCGAAAATAAAAAAAAAACAAGTTGAAACTTCAAACGCATTTTTCTCAGTTTCACTTTTTGGCAGGAATTCTTGTTTTAGGAAAGCTATCATTTGACATTCTGAATACAGAGGGACATCATTCAAGATTTTCTGGGACTGAAATTTTCTGGGGAACAAGATAGACTACTTCACAGTTCAAAAAATCTACTCCTTCATAAAAAAAAAAATTTTTTTTTTGAAACAAAAATTTTACATTTTCTTTTTAAATTTTGGGATGTTCTTATTTTTGTTATAATTGAATATTTTGCAATTTATTTTTTATCTAGGTTGCACTGTGGGTATTGTTCTTCACATTAAAGCAAAAAGTTTGCCACCAGCTAATTTTATTTTTCTACGATAGACTTCCTAATGAAGTGTCTTTTTTCTGAAGTGCGAGAACCGTAGCATGCTGTAAAGTTGACCAATAATGCTAAAACTTTGCAGATTATCCTTCCTCATAGTGCTGAAATAACCCTCAAAATTTGAACCAAATTGGGTGAAGGGTTCAAAAGTTGACCCTCCCAGGCCATATCCCCCCTTAAACACATGTTAAAAAGGATTACGTCGATACAGTTTCACAGAAATCGACAAAGACAAAACTGGGTACGATCAAGGAGCGTGGTTTAGTCACATCGCTCTTGCTACGTAGTGCTGAAAAAAGGCAGGCATGCCACAAAACCAACAACTGCACGGTATATCACCGCCGCAGGCTTTGGGAATTACACGTTAGCAAAACGGACACGGTGTGTCGGCGAATGAAGGTGGGGAAGGGAATAAAAATGTCGCATGTAGTTGGCTGAGCTGTGGCCATTCCCTATTTGATCGGACTATAGTCGGTTACAAGTCAAGAAGGTAGGAGAAGCTCCTCCCACAAGTGTGATGCGCCCGTTTCAAATCTCTCCGCAGTCGAAAGAAGAGTTCACTGGAAACGCTCCTTGTTCCGCTTCAATGAATTCCCACTTGTCTCCGATCCCACTTTTTAAGAAAGCGACCTTTGTATTCATCGGAGAGGGAACCGAGGCCCTGAAAGCAGCCTTTGTATCCATCTGGGGGAAGCTAATCCCCCAAAGTCGTATTTGTTTCCGCCGGTGGGGGAGAACTCTAATCTCTATTTCATGGCTTCCACAATGCTAAGTCAAAGTCGAAAGATAAAGCAAATATGTACAGGAAGGCAAGACCCTCCTCGCGCGTTGTCCGCGACGTCACGGAAACGGTGGGACGCTATTGGATGCAAAGGTGGCGGAGGGATATCTGATTCCCTTTGAGGGGCATCTGCCGCTACCTTCTTAACCTGTAACTGACTATAGTTGGTTCCATTCATCTGGGGGAAAATGTAGCCCGCAGGTCTGGCACTGCCAAAGTGTAGCTGGCTGGCGGCTGGCCGTCCTTCCTAGGCAGCGAAGGGTCGATCACATTCGCCTTAAGAGCATTTCCGGTTAGCTCGGCCTGCAAAGTATAGAAGAATGAGTATTAATAAACAGGCGCCAACACAAATTACTTTACCTGCCATCAGATATCGTCACATTCGATGAGCAAATCTAAAACTGAAGGGTACCAGTGCTGGGAACCGGTCTAGTTGGCTATTCATTACTTGATCAAACTGCGGAGTAAATGATTACGAACTACGACGCAGAAACGAGAAGAAAAAAAAGGCAACAAAAAGGGAAAACGCGCATCTGCAGTTCAGTTTGATCAAGTCAAGAACTGAAGGCCACTTTCGGAATTAAACGCGGCGTGGATAACAGCACGCTTTGTCAGTACGAGTACCTGAGCGAAATTTCAATCTGAAGGACACGAAAAAATTAAGTCCCATGAGACTATACCATTTCCAAGTGTGTATGTTTTAGCCAAATACCAACGACAAATTTCAAATTTCAGCGAGAAATGTTTCATTATATATGTAACGTCTAAGAGCTAGGGGGAAGGAAAATGTTAGCCGGTTGCGTCAGTGCTGCACCCACGCGACTAGTGCTATCATTAATAAAATGAAATGCAGTGTAGATTAATCAATCAGACTCGCGTTTTGCCAAAAACTAACATAAGCGGGGCTCACTTAGGAAAAATGGGTTTTAATTCGATACTTGGTTCACGTTCACGAGTTTCTCAGAGACTCGCATTGCTAAAGAGCCCTTTAGATCACCCAGAAGTTGATTACGAAATGTTATAATTTGGTTAATTGATCACCTAGTATACATTGATTACCATTCATCACCAGTATAGGGTTTACAGTCCCTATTGCAAGACAAGTATCTTTTTTCTCATTTCTTCTCACTCAAGACGAGCTTAGAGAGGCATTCCCCTCTGCTTCGTCCCCATTAAAAAGAATCTGAAAGACTTGTAGAAAAATATGAGATAGAGGTTGAATTCCAGCTAGTTTTATTCAGCAAATCTGAATATTGCGTTCGTTTTCTCCGAAAATGTAACCAAACGCGGGAAAACACGCAAAGCCTCCGTCTAGTCGTAAAGTCATTATAGGATCTTTCGGCCGCATTTTCAACACCTATCGATCTCCTCTGTAACGCCCTCCCGGACCGTGTTGAGGGAATGGTTCAGGCTGGAACATGGCAATTATTACAGATTTTGTTCAGGCTTGTTTTACCATCTAGGCTACAAGATAACATCCTTCTTTTCCAAACCAGTTTTTGCGGTCGGTGTTTGGTCCATGGTGAGAGCGATAGAATTCTCGGGTGCTGATTGAACGTGATGTCCCAACGTTTTTCTGGGCGAGAGTTATCGACCAATGATATATCTTAAGTTGGTTTACAAGTTCTTTTGGTGGGAACTACTCATTAACACACGGATGGTGACAGGAGTCCCGCAGTAATATTTGTTCCGAGTGTACATAGGAGAATTTGAGCTCTGTACGGCAGCAAAGCTTGAGATTTGCAGAGGGAGCACCCGTTGTCGATCGCATCAAACGGGAAGTATAGCAGACGATTATAGTTTCAGCTTGCGTCCCGGATCACTTCGTCACGTTACTCGCCATTTGCCAGAGGGCTGCCTTTATTCCGGTCCGTTAACGGAATAAAGTATTTTCTTGTTTTCTTTTTGTCTGCGAATGACGCTTCGTAGCAGACAAATTCTATTGTTCACTTACGTTACCAGACTAATCATCTCCTGACATTTTCTGACTCGCTCCGTCAAGTCCAGGTAACACTGCTCGAACACCAAACAAAAGACAGTGTGCGGTCTGAGACGAGTTTTTTTTTTTTTTTTTTTTTTTCGTGTCTTCTCATATTGGGCCTACCAAAACTGTTTGTAGACATGTTCGAAGCACTCATATATGTGCGCTTCTAACACGTCTGCGGATAGTTTTGGTAGGCCCAATATGAGAGTACTGAGATAAAGGAACCAATTTTGACAGTTGACACACTTGCAACCGCTTACGACCGGAGGGGCTTGTGAACCACCATCTTCTGACTGCCGATGGCCGGCCGCTTCTCTGTCGGTTCTGTGTGGTCCCCAATGTTTTAAGCACCTGTGGTTTGTAAGCATGGCAATAAGAAATGTGTAGATCTGCCATTACTTCAGCAAACAATAAACAGAACGCACACATGGCACACATTGTTTCAGTTTTAGAAATAAGACAGCACCTCCAGACATTTTGACATAATACAACAAAAGGAAGACACTATTCAGTGTGTCCGCATTAAGACATACGTAGAGAGATTATACAGTATAAATAAATAAGTGGATGAAAGCCTCCGCTAGGCTTTGAAAAGAGGGGTGAGGGCGGTTGGTCGGCAAAGTAAGGTAAGACGGACAATGGAAAGTTCTCGCGCAGCAGGCTC